TCCTTTGGCTGTAACTAGTTACAATGGTTTCCAGTACTTTCTCACCATTGTTGATGACAAGTCACGATGTGTTTGGGCCTATCTTATGAAACTTAAGAGTGAAGCTAGGCAATTATTACAAGATTTTTGCATTATGATCCAAAACCAGTATGGGGCAAGAGTTAAGACTGTTAGATCAGATCAAGGTTCTGAGTTTCACATTCCATCCTTTTATTCTTCCCATGAAATTACACACCAAACATCTTGTGTAGAGACACCACAACAGAATTCTAGGGTGGAAAGAAAACACCAACACATTCTCAATGTGGCAAGATCTTTAAAATTCCAATCTGGTCTACCCCTGAAGTTTTGGTCTGATTTCATTCTACACTCAGTTTACCTGATAAATCGATTGCCTACTGTTGCTCTTAACAACCAAACTCCATATTCAGTTCTGTATGGCTCACCTCCATATTTGTCTCACCTTAAGGTTTTTGGATGTTTGTGCTATGCCAGCACTTTAGGTCATAATCGAACCAAATTCTTTCCTAGAGCAAGACAATGTGTATTCTTAGGATTCAATCCAGGCATAAAAGGGTATAAACTTTTTGATCTCACAGAACAGAAAGTCTTTTACTCTAGAGATGTCACATTCCATGAGAGTATCATTCCTTGTCTTGATTCCCCTAGCAATTCTACTTCACCTGACCAAACTCCTATTCAACAAACCTTCACAGATCAACCATTTTTCTCCTCCTCTTCTGAACCTCCTACTCAAACTCCAATTCCAGAAACTCCTTTTCCAGTCCAAGAGACTGTTACACCTCCTTCTCCTACTCCAGTTACTCCAACTCAAGCTTCTCCCAGTCCTATTGTTCCATCTCCAGTGCAAACCTCCTCTCCAACACCTGTTATCACCTTGCCAGCCTCCCCTTCTACACTTCCCATTGCACTTAGGAAACCTTCTCGTATCCCAATCAAACCTGTGAAATATAATGACTTTGTTATGCATGTGAACTCAAGCATTGACAAGCAGATGTATCCTTTGGTTGCCTGTCTATCATATGATCAGTTAACTCCAGGATACAGGAAGTATGTTTGTGCAATTGAAACTACTGTCATTCCTAAGACAGTTGAGGAGGCAATGCAGTACAAATGTTGGAGAGATGCTATGAACTTGGAACTGAAAGCTCTAGCAGCTAATTACACATGGGATACAGTGGATTGCCCTAGTGGAAAGAGACCTATTGGCAACAAGTGGGTCTTCACCATTAAATTTAACCCTGATGGTTCCATAGAAAGATACAAAGCCAGGTTGGTGGCTAAAGGATTCACACAAATCTATGGAATCGATTTCCTTGATACATACTCCCCAGTTGCCAAGCTCAACTCTGTCAAGACTTTGCTTGCCTTGGCTGCAGCAAAGAATTGGAAACTGTCCCAATTGGATGTCAGCAATGCATTTTTGCATGGTGACCTTCAGGAAGAGGTGTACCTGGATCTTCCTCCTGGTATTTCTGAACCGGGTAAGGTTTGTCGTCTCAAAAAATCCATTTATGGTTTAAAACAAGCTTCGAGACAATGGTTTGCAAAGCTCACTTCTGCTCTTATCAGCTTTGGTTATACTCAATCCAACAGTGATTACCCTATGTTTGTTCACTACAACAAAAGTTCTGGAATTTCAATTTTACTGGTGTATGTTGATGATATCATCATTGTTGGGGATGATGATCAAGCCATGACAGCACTTAAAAAGTTCTTACAATCTCAGTTCAGGATTCGTGATCTCGACACATTTCACTATTTCTTGGGTATAGAAATTGCTCGATCACAGGGGGGATTATGCATCTGCCAAAATAAATATTGCACATACTTGTTGGAAGACACTGGTTTTGTAGATTCCAAGCCTGTAATCACTCCCATAGACATGAAGACCAGATTAAGTGCTGATGATGGACCATTACTTGAGGATGGGACACTTTTCAGGAAGATTATTGGTAGATTTCACTACCTCACCATCACTCGACCAGATCTAACCTTTGCTGTCCAGCAAATTTGCCAGTATAAAGTTGCACCAACTATGACACATTTGCAGCTGGCTCACAAGATCCTGAAGTACCTTAAGAAAGCTCCAGGACAGGGATTGTTTTATCCCTCTAAATCTGATATTCAACTTAGGGGGTTCAGTGACTCTGATTGGGCTTCATGCCCATATACAAGGCGCTCAACGACAGGATATTGTGTTTCCCTGGGAAGAGCATTGATTATATGGAAGTCAAAGAAGCAGGTAACAGTATCTCGATCCTCCTCTGAAGCTGAGTATAGAGCTTTGGCTCAGCTTACATGTGAAGTCGTTTGGGTGAAAAGACTTCTACAGGAACTTCATATTGAACATGCTCAACCTGTAGAAGTCTATTGTGACAATCAATCAGCAATTTATATTGCTGAGAATCCGGTGTTTCATGAAAGAACGAAACACATAGAGATAGATTGTCACATTGTTCGTCAATTCTTGCAGTCCAAGCTTATACAACTCAACCACCTTGAAACAGAGAACCAAATTGCTGATTTATTCACCAAGGGGTTGAGTTGACATCGTCTGGAACATATGTTATCCAAGCTGAACATACATGACATGTATGTCAGCTTGAGGGGGCATATTAGAGAAGATGATGTTCCTGGGAATGACTGCAGGGGATGACGCTGTCTGATGAACACTGAAGAGCTTGTAGCACGTCGACGTTTTAACCAGAAGCAGTTGAGGAGCTGGTGAAGAAACGATGACGTTCTACTCAGTGTTTAGTTCGTTTCAATTAATACTGTACATACCACATGTTGCTTTCTGATTGGTAGTTAGCTTTGATTCTATTTATATCCGTTGTAATTAAACTGATTGTACAGAAGCGAGTTAACTCGCAGTATATATACCAGCCCTTGAGGCAAAGAGCCCTTTGCGGGTTTCACCACAAATCTGATCCATTCTCAAACTTTCACAATTATGCGATTTGGAGATCTACAACTACAAGTAACGAAGGTGTGGTCAGTCCAACCCCTGCCCAGGTTCTCCCCTAGAGCCGTTGTAGTATATTATGTATGTGTGGGTGCATGTGGGAACGCCAAAAACTATACCCAAATAAGTTTGAATGCAAGTCAACAACTTAATTACGACTATACATGTATGAACACTGAAAATTTTGATTTTGTACCAACTAAAATCCATGTTGATCCAGGAAGAAGCCCCAAGAATGGGAAAAGAAAAATGATAGACGGGGGGAGAGAGAAGACTCATTGAGGTCACATGTCACCGGCGAGAGACTAAAGACTAATTGGGATTAGATTCTATACAAAATGATAGTTAATAAAAGTGTGAGCTGAAAATTAAATGAAAAGAAGAGGAATTTTTAGGAGTAAACCGGGAGCACCAAACGTGCTAGCCATGTGGGAACTAAGAGGCGGACCCCGCGGCCCACTCCTCTATGGTGAAAAATATTAAGGCCGTTATTAATACAAATATATTTTTAAGAAAACATGTCCACATTCACACAGCGGATCCGCTTAATAACAAACATCTTAATTAATTTAAATTTAATGAACTATATGTATATTGTTTTAAATGGAAAATCTTAAAATTTTACCACATAAAAAAAGTCAGTCATTTTGCTTTTCAAATTAAAATTTACTTTGATATTTTTAGCAAGAATAAGGAATATATTACCAGTTAATACTATGGTGGCAATGTTTGCTAGTACAAAAAATATTACCATGGTGGTGTGGAAATTCATTAAGGTAGTATGAGTAAACCATAGTGTCAATATATACAAATAAATATTTGTCACCTATCAGTTTCGTCTATCACTAGTTACCACCTCATGTCAGGGTGATGATATATTTGGTCCTGAAAAGTTTTCAATAGATTTGTAGATCACGATGACCCTTCATTTTGTGCCAAAAAAATTCAGAAGTTGAGTTAAAATGAACTATGTTGTATCATGATGGCAATGAATGCTATGAATTTTATCTCTTGAAATATATAAAAAAAAAATCATTTTGTAGATCATAATAAGTTTGTTTCATCTGCGTAAATAAATTGAAAATTCGATCTAAAATTAAAACAAGATACAAACAAATTAAAAAAATTATAATAAATTTTTTAATCTCAGTTCTTATATGTTACTCCACTACATAAAAAATTCAAATCTAGTTGTACACTAACCATTTATGAACCTATCTTAGACCTTAAAGCACAGATCCCTTTTTAATTAATTTATTTTCCTAAAGAATATAGAATATACAAATACAACTACTGTATGTCCCACAGTACGCTCCCCCATACGCTATAACTCCACCTTTCTCCTTCTCTGTATGGTACGCCTCTTTCCCCACTTGCCGCTTTTGCTTTGGGAACATGGCTCGTAATTATTACTTGCAAAACAGGCTTCGCCGCTGCTGCTCCATTCTACTCTGTACCCAGTAACCCCACCCCACCTCACCTCTGTTTAATTATAGTATATATATATTGTTCACGTAACTTTGTACATGCTGCGGCGTCCGTATACGCATAGTATAACTATAAACTCAGTAGTTGCCGGGAGAAGATGGGCAAAATAAAGGAGGTGAAGGAAGAATGAATGTAAATCAATCAACACTAAGCAAGAACATTTTAATATAGTTGTAGTTTTTTTCTGAATAGTCTAATTTTAATGTGACAGGTAGCCAATGCTTTTGAAGCAAAGGAATCACATCTTTCATAATCATGGATCATCACAAATTCAACACACTAGTATGTTTAAATTATCAAACTAATTAATTTCAACTAAAAAAAAAGGAGAAAGAAAAAAGAAAATCCAACACACACATCACATGTAGTAAGGAAGGAGGGTGAGGGTGAGGGCGGGGGCGGGGGGCTAATAAGATATTATACTCATCATTCATCCCCCATGTATGTTACAAAATATGGGAGGGAGGAAAACAGGTGATGGGAAAAAAGAAAAAAAAAGCTGAGTTTGTTTCCTAGTTTGGATTCAGTGATGGCGAGCGGCGGAGGGCGCGGCGGCGGTGGCGAGGGGAGCGGGAGACTTGCACTGATAGCACTTGGCGAAGAGGCCGAAAGTGTCGACTTGCCTTACAAAGTTGGTGACGCTGGCCCACCCGCCGAACCCGAACCCGACAACCAGAACCCACACCACCACGAACGCGTTCACCACGTACATCGCCGTCCAGCTCGGTAAAAAGAAGGGGGGCTTCTCCGCGGCGTTCTGCAAATTAAACAACAACAAAAAAAAGAAAGAAAGTCTATGAAAATAGGACGACGGACTCACTGACTGACTGACTGACCTCTTCCTACTTCCTAGCTAGCTAGCTAGGATTGGAAAAATAGGACGGCGGCGGCGGCTGCTTCCACTAATAATTGGTGAGCCCGCAACCAACATTCACTCGTCTCCGTCCTCGACCTCTATTATTATTGTTTACCAAAAAGACAAAACGAAAACAAGGCCAAAATATATGTTTTTGAAACGAAACGGACTGACTATCTATCCGAGTGGGACAGGAGTGGTAACCTAAGTAGCATATTTCCAACCCAACCCCAAAACCCAGAAGAAGGTTGTACTGCACTGTATCTCTATCTATCCGTATGTAACTAGGAGAATGCAACTATGCTATTATACTAGCAGGCAGGCAGCAATGTTATTGTTATGTTACTTAACTAGAATGAAAAGGACATGCCGCCTACCATACTTGCGTCCATATCAATCCCCCCATTAATTAGGGGTGGGGCACTGTCAACTGTGGAATGTGGTGGCGGGCAACTGTCCCACTCACTCACAATTCACAAACAAACCTTAATTACCCTACACATATATACTTACTGCTGCTGAGTGAGAGAAATGCTAGCTAGCTAGCTTTACCTGTCTGGCGGAGGCCTTCCTGTAAGTGAGCATATGGGCCATGGAGGGGATGATGTAAACGGTGAAGCTGACGAGCAGGGCCCCCACCGCGGAGTTGATGGGCCCGAAGAAGGGGAAGATAATGGCCAGGAACCAGATCGGGATCACCACTGGCAACCTCGCCACCGCCCTCAGGCAGATGCTCTTCGTGTCGTGCATCCCGATCACCTTCTCCCACACGAAGTACAGCGGCGTGCAAGCGAACCCGAACGTTATGAACTATAAATGAGCATCGAACGTTAGAAATTTGTATCAAACGCCATCGTCTTTTAGTTCATCTAACCACAAGGAGTATTGTATTTAATTTCAATTTCAATTTCAATTTCAATTTTACTTACCTGATGGATGAGCATCAATATGACGGCGGCGTCACGCCATGCGTTCTTGGGCAAGAGCGAGAAGGCGTTGGAATGGTTGAGCAGCTGGTCGCCGAACGCCCAGTACACGGCGGTGGCCGACGGGATCGTCAGTGTGAATACGTACAGCGTGGCTATCAAATAGATGTACTTGAACTTCTGTGGCTTCCACATGGCGTGCATTATTTCCCTGTTAATAATTATTATTATTATTAACCAACCCAAGTTAATCAATCAATCAATTAATTGGGCTTAGGATTCGTTCAAACTTAATCATTGTTACTACTCCATGATTAAAACTAGCTTAGATAGTCATTAGCAAAAACGGAAGAGACAAATTACTATCAACATTATTATTATTTGCTGGAGTGATTGGTCAATTACCCATCTATTATTATTATTATTAAGACTCGTAAAGTGACAAGAAATCAGTCAAGAAAATGGAACATGGGAGGGGGAAAGCGGGGAACAAAATTATATAATCGGAATGATGTTGTCTAGCTACTAGCTAAAGCTAGCTAATGGGCTCTCTCTCTCTCTCTCTCTCTCTCGACGCCCAAGGCAACCGGCAAAAGCTGCAAACAGAAGCCGTGTGGAAGCACCGATTTGGAAGCCCAGAGAAGGAAACATAAATTTAATTACCATTTACCCACCCAGCTGGATCGCAGGTCAAAAAAAAAAGGTCGTTTATTCTTCCATGGTAAAAAAGAAAGAAGGTAATAACGAATTTAACTTACACGGTGACGGCGTGACCGCCGAAAGTGTAGAGGATGTTGGTGGCGCCGGTGAAGTAGAGGACGAGCTTGGTGGGGCCGGAGTGGGTGACACCGTCAACCTGGCCGTGAACCACGGCGGCGATGGTCATGTACCAGGCGGTGTAGGTAGTCATCCCGAGTCCCAGGAACGACCATATCCTGTAGTTATGGAACGACGGGATGAACACAGTGGTTGCACAGCACGCGCCGAAGATATAGGTCCACGTCCTCTTGTCCAGCCGGTCGTTTATGTAGTAAATATTGCTGTCCTCCCCAATAACAATGTTAGCTAGCGTCAGAGTTTTTACTATTTAAATGGATGAGAATATTAATGGCGGCCGGAAGATGAGGGTAAAGTAAGGTTGGGTTTTTTGGGGTAACCTGGCGCATGCAATTAGCTGAATCACAGAGCCGAAGAGAAGGAAAGTACAGTTGAAGGCAAGCCCCACAGCTTTCCAGTATGGACCCAGTAACCCATCCAACACTTCGAACCACTGTCCATTCGCAGCAAAGAGAAGAAAAGTAAGCCCCAAGGTTTTGACCGCCGTGAAAAGCGGATCGGTAAAAATTGGGTGGATTTTTTTTTTTGTTTGTTTTACCTGGATGACATGGTTTTTGAAGCTCACATTCTCCTTCTCCTTCCTGCTTCTGTACTCAATGTAGAGCACGCTGATGAGGTAAGCCGTCCAGCTTCCGACGAGGCCGTAGAAGATCTGGAGCACGACTCCGGAGACCATCCCCATCTGGGAGAAGGAGTAGGGCAGCGTGAGGAGGACTTGCGCCACCTGATTGGAAGCGCAGCTGAACCACGCGTCCCACACTGAACCGCCGTGCCACAGGAAGTTCTTGAATCCCGCCATTGACTGCTCTTCTTGCTTCTCCTCCAGTCCTCCGCCGCGGCCGCCGTGTTCCGTCTCGTTTGAATTTGGGACCATCGCTAACTCCGCTTGGATCTGATGCGGCGGCACCATTTTCACGGGTCTGTCGTTTTTGTTTTTTTTTTTATTCTTCTTCTTCTTCCAAGTCCAGGCGGATCTGAAACATATACAAGACAGTCAATAAGACAAAAGAAAGCGTAATCCCAGCAAAATTAGAAGAAATGAAGTTCCCCTTTTTCGTCCGCCCCTGAAATTCCTCGTTTCTTTCTGAAATGTCATTTTCTGGAGGGAGTAAGGGATTACAGATCGAAGGAGAAGAGTGGATTACTGTTTGTTACCCTTTTCTAGGCGAAAGAAGGGAAGACCGAAACTCGCCGGAGAAAGCCAAACCAAAGAAGCTGTTGTTAAGGTAATAATAATAATAAAGTGTGGGGAGGTTGGGGGTAGATTGGATTGGATTGGATTGCTATTTGCTGAGCAGGAGGGAGGGAGGGGGAGACTTAAATGCGTGGATGGGGGGACGAGAAATGTATCTGCAAGCCAGCAGAGACGGCTACAGAGTACAGAGAGGAAGAGAGAGAGAGATAGAGAGAGGACCTCAAAAGCAGGGAACAGGAGAAAGGAAGGGGAAGGGAAAAGGAAGTCCAATAACTCCCTCTGTTTTTCTCTCTCGGCTCTGTGTCTATCTCTCTCACTGATTCCTGCCCTTCTTCAATGGCCTTTTTATTGCAGAGGAGGGAGAGAGAAGCAAAGATAAAAACAGGGCAAAAGACTACTTTTTCGGCCCCCTTTCTCTGTTTCTCACCCTTTATATTTCCCGGTCTTCTCTGTTGTTCGTTGTGTGTGTACTTTCTCCTTCCGCACTCCCGGCCGGGCTGGCTGGCTGGATGGGGTCTTCTGGAAAAGAAGAAGGAAAAGTGACAAAGTACGGAGCCCAAATCCCTTGTATTCCCACTTCCAATTCCGCTTGGTGGTTACGACTTCCTCACTAGTTACATATATCCAACCAGCGGTGTTGATTGAACTTGTTGAGATGTGTGACTCAATTCTCAAATTATAATCTATTGCTCTCAAAGTCAATTTTGTGAGACTTAATCCACGACGAACGAATCGGGTTGAACCGCTACCGATTATAGAATTGATTGGAATGTTTCCAGTATGATCATCATAATCGATTTTCAATTTTTAAACAAAATAATGTTATTTTGGTGGATTGAATTAAAACATTTATTTTTCACTTGTGTTAAATATTGATGTTATTTGTTGGAAGAATTGCTTGGTTGGGCAATTCCTACAGGATCCGCCGTCGCTCTACGTCCTGAGGCGCTGGGTCAACAAGCTGTGGGGAAGAGACGGTCTGGTTAGGGTTTCTCTTCTTTATGATAAGATGTTGCTGATTCAGCTCCCGAATCAACAGGTGTGCGACTGGATTTTAGAAAATGGTCCTTGGTTCTGGTTCAACAATTTGCTCTACCTTCGTCCATGGGTGCCTGGGATCAGTGTTGAAGATTTGGGGAGAAAAGCCCTCCCAATTTGGGTTCATTTGTCGAATGTTCCGCTGGAATACAACGATTTTCAGGGTTTGAGCCGTATTGCTAGTTGGGTGGGGGTTCCACTGGGAGTCGATCACACAACTAGGATGGGGAATCGCCATGGGTTTGCTAAGGTTCTGGTCGAATTAACTGTAGAAAGTGCCTGTCCTGATCATGTTCTGCTGTGGCCAGATGATGATTCGTCCATCAGGATTGGTGTTTCTTATTGTAATTTGCCTCCTGTCTGTTCAGTATGCAAGATATTTGGTGTATCAGGGGCGTGTGTGGCTCATCAAGGGAAACAGTGGGTGCCTGTGGTAGCAAAGAAGAGTACAGTGGTTCCTACAGAGAGTACAGTGGTTACTACAGAGGAGACGCAGGAGAACAAAGTGGTTACTACAGAGAGTGCTAAGGGTAAGGGAATACAGGAAAGTGTGGATCCGCAGCTGCAGGCCATTTTTGCAAGCCCTTCACTAGATGGGAGCAGGATTGCTCCACAAAATTTGGAGAAGTCATTTGCGGCTGTGGCTGGAACTGCTTCACCGAAATTGCCAACTGAAGATGAATTCCAAAGAGTTGTGAATGGTGCAAAACCGAGAGTCTGGAAGCCGGATAAAACAGGTGGTACTATCCAAACCTCACCCTCATCTTTCAATGTGCTGAGCCAGCTGGGTGACAAGGAATCAGGTAAACTTATGGAAGCCCCAAAGAAGAAAGAGGTGAAAAGGGATCAGTGGAAGGGAGGTGGGGGGAAACCCTCAACTTCTAGATGATAGTATTATTCTGGAATGTGAGGGGGTTTAATAAAACCTCCAAACAGAAGGACTTGATGCAAGTTCTTCATAGAAACAAAGTAGATGTAGTTGCAGTATTAGAGACGAGAATTAGAGCAGAGAAAGCTAAAGATGCTGTTGAGGAAATTTTTGCAGGGTGGGAGAGATGTATTGAATGTGTTGATTCTAGTTTGGGAAGGGTTTGGTTGTTCTGGGTTCCAGAGGTCAAGATTCATGTGATTAAGCCTGGTAAAAATTTTGTGCATTGTGTGGTGGAGGATGTAAACAAGGATAGGGTCTTTTTGACGGCAGTATATGCATCGAATGATGAAGCTGAGAGGCAGGCCACGTACAGGGAGATTGCCAAGTACAAAGTAGTGGGTCTTCCTTGGATTATTGGGGGTGATTTCAACACAGTAAGAAGTCCTGAGGAAACATCAAATCTGATGCAACTAACTAGCAGTATGAGTGATTTTAATGCGTGGATTGGGGACATGGAATTACTAGATCACAGAACAGTAGGGCCACAGTTTACTTGGACTAACCGGCAAGTTAGTAACCCTATTGCTAGGAAGTTAGATCGTGCGTTGGTTAATTTGGAATGGATTGAGAAGTTTCAGAACTGTATAGTAGAGGTGATTCCAGGCAACTTCTCTGACCACTGTGGGATACAGGTCTGTACAGCAACTCCAATTAAAACTATGCCAAAACCGTTTAAGTATTTTGAATTCTGGTCAGAGCATCCCAAGTTTCTGGATGTTGTTGAGGCTGCTTGGCAGGTGGAGGCTTCTGGGAATCCATGGCAGATCTTGCAAAGGAAAATGAAAGAGGTGAAACAGGCTCTCAAAAAGTTCAATAGAGAAGTTTATGGGAATCTTCAGGATCAGGTTAAGGTGGCTGCAGAGGCATATCAAAGTGCTAATGCTCAAGCCTATTCTGTACCTTCTACAATGAGTTTTGAGAAGGTTGTGCAGGCCAAGGATCACTTTATTCAAGTATCTAAAGCATATGAAAGCTTCTGCTGGCAGAAGTCTAGAGTATCTTGGCTGACAGTGGGTGATAAATGTTCCAACTTCTTCTACCAGGCAGTGAAAATAAGGAATTCTAAAAGAGCAATAAGGAAGCTGGTCAGGGAGTCAGGAGAGAAAGTCTATAAAATGGAGGAAATAGTGGAAGAGGTGATTGGATTCTATAAAAGACTACTGGGGGAAGTCAATGATGAAATTAAACCTAGTATTGAGGTAATTCAAAAGCTGGTTAGGCACAAACTTCCTCAGGGAGAATGTGATGGTTTAATCAAACAGGTTACTGCTGAGGAGATCAAAGCTGCGGTTTTTAGTATGAATGCTCAGAAGTCCCCTGGCCCTGATGGGTTCTCTGCTGGTTTTTTCAAAAGGACATGGGCCATTATTGGAGAGGACGTTGTCAAGGGTATCCTGTGTTTCTTCAATTCAGGTATGCTTCCTAGTGGCATCAATTCTGCTGCTGTGTCCCTTTTGCCTAAAGTCACCAATGCTGACTCACTTAAGAATTTTAGACCCATTTCTTGCATTAATCTCCTATACAAGGTCATAGCAAAGATCCTAACAAACAGAATCCGAGAGATTATGCCTTTAATCATAAGCAACTCCCAATCTGCTTTTATTAAAGGTAGGAGTATTATGGACAACATTCTCTTAGCTCAAGAGTTAGTTAGTGGGTATAACAGAAAACATCTTTCATCTCGTTGTGCAATAAAAGTGGACATCATGAAGGCCTTTGACTCTGTGAATTGGAGATATTTGTTCATTATGATGAAAACAATTGGATTCCCTGAGAAGTTTATGTTATGGATTCGAACCTGTCTGCAAACAGCCCACTACAGCTTTAACATTAATGGTAGTCTTTGTGGTTTTTTTCGTGCCAAGAAAGGAGTTAGGCAGGGTGACCCCTTGTCACCCTACCTATTCACAATTGCCATGGAGGGATTATCTACACTCTTGAGAGAGGCAAGCTTGTCTGGAAGTGTGCCTTTTCATCCTTTGTGTAAGAAAGTGGAATTAAATCACCTATGCTTTGCGGATGATCTCCTCATTTTCACAAAGGGGTCTGCTCAGGCAATTGTTCAAGTAAAAGAAGTCCTCAACCAGTTCTATAGGGTATCTGGTCTCAAATGCAACCCTGTCAAATGCGAAATTTATTTTGGGGGAGAGTCTGTTCAGTATAAAGCCAATGCACTTGAGCTTTCAGGGTTTCAAGAAGGGACCTTGCCTGTTAGGTACCTGGGACTGCCTCTACTGGCAGGTAAGCTTTCTTCCGCTGAGGTTGACATTTTAGTAGAAAAAATCACAAAGCGCATTAAATCATGGAGAGCCAAGAAACTCACATATGCAGGAAGGCTACAGCTCCTGAACTCAGTGCTTCTTAGTATAGTCCAGTTTTGGATGCAATTGTTTGTACTGCCTAAACTAGCTTTGAAGAGAATCCAAAAAATATGCTCGCAGTTCTTATGGCATGGTGTCACAGAAGGCAGGGCAAAGGTGGCTTGGGAGTTTATCTCTCTGCCAAAACAGGAAGGGGGTCTAGGAGTGAAAGATTTAGGAGCATGGAATCAGGCCTGTTGTACTAGACTGCTTTGGTTATTCCTATTGAACTCAGGGACCCTGTGGGTAGCATGGATGCAAGAGTATAAATGCAAGAATTTAGACTTGTGGTCAGTAAAGGTGCAAGCAAGCAGCTCTTGGGCCTGGAGGAAACTGTTAAAGCTAAGGGTGGTTATCTTTCCCTGGATGAAGAAGCAGAATGGTAT